TCACTATACTTGGGCATCAGGACCCACACAGACCGCAGGGTGAGAGCGCCCCCTGCTGGCCCCACTCACACCTCTCCCAGCAGCAGCCTTAGTTTTTCCCAGGAGTCTCCCCTCCAGGTACTGACCAGGCTCACACCTGCTGGGCTCCAGTGGGGGGGGGGGCTTCCAGCTGGGAGCTGCAGGGTGAGATGGCTGCTGGGGTGAGTGAGTTGACCACAGTTGGGCTGATGATGGAAGAGATAACTGTTGTTCTCTTTTTTTTCTTCCCCCACTCACAGGGTCCTCTGGATGCACCAGACCTTCACCACCTCTCCGTTGCGGAGGTAGGGGCTACGGGATGAGCCGGAACTGGGAACCCCAAAGTTCCTTGAAGGAACAGCAGCGAAACTAGCGGCCATGTTCCTGTCCTCTGTCTGGCAGAACAAGGAACAAATCTAATTAAGTAATTAAGGACTCGGGTACAAGGAGAACCAGAAGCCTCTTGGGCTGCCAGGATGTGAGGTCTTGTCCCCCCCAACACACATCTCCAGGTTAAACAGTTTCTGTCATGGGCACTAGGAGCTCATTTTGGAATTAAGACCGTACAGGTGACAAGCTAGAGGAGACCAGTTTGGTCCAACGGTCTCGAATTGGGGTTTGTTGCTAATGGGAGGAGCTCACCCAGCTGTGTCTGGAGAGGAGCCAGGGTATCGGCTTCAACCACAGGGCTGGGCAGCTTGTTCCCCACCTCCACCACCCTTGGTGTACAGTAGTCTGCCCGGATTGGAGAATCTCATCCAGCTGTGTCTTGAGAGAAGCCGGGGTACTGGCTTCAACCACATGGCTGGGCAGCTTGTTCCCCACCCCCACCACCCTTGGTGTACAGTAGTCTGGCCGAATTGGAGAATCTCATCCAGCTGTATCTGGAGAGAAGCAAGGGTATCAGCTTCAACAACATGTTGGGCATCTTGTACACCAAGGGTGGTGGGGGTGGGGAACAAAATGGCTTCTCTCAAGACACAGCTGGGTGAGCTCCTCCAATCTGGAGAGACTACTGTACACCAAGGGTGGTGGGGGTGGGGAACAACCTGCCCAGCCATGTGGTTGAAGCCAATACCCTGGCTTCTCTGAAGACACAGCTGGATGAGATCCTCCAATCCGGGCAGACTACTGTTCCCCACCCCCACCACCGTTGGTGTACAGTAGTCTGCCCAGATTGGAGGATCTCATCCAGCTGTGTCTGGAGAGAAGCCAAGGTATCGGCTTGAACTACATGGCTGGGCAGCTTGTTCAACCCCCTCCACCCTTGATGGCTGATGTCGTGTCACATACAACAACAGGTGTCGCTTCAAAAAATGCTCTCAAGCCAGAACCAGATATCTACAACAGTGACAAATACAGCTTGCAGAAAAATACACTTTTTTTGGTACATCTGTCAGAACTGTTTCCCCATTTGTGATGGAACAGAAAAGACTTTGAGATCGGCCAGTGTTACAGATATGCTTGATTTTTTCCTCAACAGATATCTGGATGTATCCCTGCTGGAAATTCCCCATCGCTCCCCAGAGTATGTATGCTTTTCTACATTTGTTATACAGTGAACAAGCACCGCTCTCTCTCTCTCTGCAATAACAGATGATTCACTTAAATGTTCACCATAACTCCCTAAATGTTATCTAGATTCTCTGGTAGTGCAGAGTGCTACTCTGAAAGTAGGGTATGTAAATCTGAGATGATAGTATTTGTATCATTTCAAAACATGGTTTTGCAAGTTAACTTTCACGGTAGGGTCTGCGAAATGCTTTATTTCTCGCACGAGAGATCTTGGCACCCCGGTCTCAGTTAAGGGGTAGGAAGGCTAATTGTTCAAAGAGTCGATGAGCCCTGTGGTGAAACAAGATTTCTCAGCAAGCGCCGCGCGATGGATCCGCTGTGTTCCTGAAGCATTTCACTTGCAACCCACTGGTTACTGAGAGTGATCCTATCTACCTTGGCCTTGGGTTCTGTGGGTTTGTGGATTTGGCTCCTCCAACTTGAATGAAGCTGCTGTCGGTACCCTACACAAGGGACTTCTCCTCAGCAGCGGGTGCCGTCAAAATACCCCAGCTGCAGAAATAGGCGCAAAAATTGTCGTGGAATTTGATCAAAGAAGAGTCAGGAGAGGTATTCTCATTCCCTCAGTAAGGTCTTGATTCATATTGCCATACAGTAATAATTGCTTACACTTCTAGAGCGCTTTTCTGGACACTCCACTCGAAGCGCTGGACAGGTCAGGGGGAATCCCACTACCGCCACCAGTGCGCAGCCCCCACCTGGATGATGCGACGGCAGCCATAGTGCGCCAGAACGCTCCCCACACAGCAGCTCTCAGTGGGGAGGAGAGCAGAGGGATGAAGCCAGTTCAGAGAGGGGGGTTATTAGGAGGCCATGAT